CAGGGAAGTGGTTGAGTCACCATCCCTGGGGGTATTTAAAAGATGTGTAGATGAGGTGCTTAGGGACATGGTTTAGTGGTGGACTTGGCAGTGTTGGGTTAACGGTTGGACTTTACGATCTTAAAGGTCTTTTCCAACCGAAACAATTCTGTGATTCTATGACACCATAAAGGCTGGAAAATAAGGGCCGTTAAAAGACAGGAGGGAGGCTGCAGGATGAAGATAGCTTCACATGAGAAGGGGTACCCCTTATCCTGCCTCCCTCAGCTACCAATCCACAGGATGCTTTGAAATCAGTCCCTTTGCTCCAGGTTCATTTTGCACGGGGCTATACGCCTTGATCTTCTGCCCCTTTCCTCCTCCCCAGAGTCTTCTTAAAAGTATACTTGGAATAGCTTCTGTGTGCTACAAAACATCTAACAGGGCTGGACTGAATTTTAAAGGAGTTAATTTCAGTAATGCAATAACTCATCGTCCTGTCGTATTTCATATTAATCAATGAGCATTAATTCAGTCTCCACTGAGCATCAGTAATGAATTTTGCAAACCTTACGGACTGAACTTGTATTGCCTGAAAATATTGTATTGCTACAGTGAAAAGAGCAAGAGGACAAAACAGAATAAGCTGTGCTATGTTTTTATATACTTCTTGCTTCCTTCTTCCTTTAAGATAATCTATTAATAAGCCTGAAGGACACACAAATGTAAGTATTTCTGTCTGTTGTTTATTTGCCAGTCAGTGCCACATTGGTTTCCAATTAGGCAGAGACCGTCAGACCATAATGCAAGGACACCCGGGAACACAGGGTGGCACGAGAACACCCACACTGTACAACCGGAGCCATAAAACAGAAATGTGTAAATCAGAAGCAGCAGGAGTAACTAATTGGAAATGTTTCCCAGCAGAAAAATTAGTGTTTCATATTCATAATGCGAGTGCCAATAAACAAAGAGACATGTCAGCTATTTATTTACTTTCTGACAGTCCAATCATGTGGCTGCGAGACAATAGGAAACTGCTCATTTTTCAAGAAAGGGCTACATGGCACATGGCATTTCAGCCGCTAACAACTCACGTGATCTTTTTTTTCAGGGCTTAGCCGCAATTTTACTCCCTTGAATCAGGAGCGACTTCGCTGAAATCAGACTTGCCCCAGGGAAGAACAGATTCAAAGCAAGAGAATTACACAAACCAGCTCCACATCAGGAGGAGTCTCCAACCCTGAGAGGGATTTGTCCCTGCATCCCAGTTCACTGGGTTATCCGCAATCCCTGTGGATCATGGAGCAGCAGAGGCAGAGGTTGTTCACAGGTAGCACTGATAAGCCTTCCACAACTAAAAGGCAGGTATTCTGCATGCAAGCCACTGCAAGCCCAAGGCAGGTGGCTTTACAGAACCATTTCCCAAAGCCCGCCTCTTTGCTAAGGGGTTTTCAAGGTGCTGTGCACCTCCTTGACCGTGCTATTGACGCATTTCTAGCTGAGCTACAGCACTCCGGTACTTCGCTGACTCACACTCCATCAAGTACGAGACAAAGTGTTCGATTTGTACAAAATTCCGATTCCGCTGTATAAATTCCCACACGCTCCTTACGGAGCGGCATGAATCCCTCTCCTGATGCCCTGCACAACCCCTGCAAGGAGCACAAAACCCAGTTCAGCAGAAAGCGCCGGGGTGTTGCTGGAGCTGTGCAGAGGACCTCTCGCTGGCAGAGCTCCCTATGCCCCACACTCTCCAGTTCAAGGGCAAGACAAGGGACAGAGTATTGGACATTAGAGCTCTCGGGGGTTATCTCACCCTACTTCTATTCATGGTGATGTTTATGTGTTGCTCTGCTGCCTCTCTAAATTTGAAGAGCACCACTTTGCCTTTCATGGGCACCAATTTACCTCTTCCTCCCCAAAAATGAACGCTAATTAATACTAATAAATCACATTTTCAAGGCACCAGTGTACTTTGCAAAGCCTACCTCAGTGAGATTAAGCTCTTGCGTCGCTTGGGTAGTTTGGAGAACTGCCCTAGGCCAACATAATTTTTACCCTAAATATTAATGATGTTAAATAATTTCTCAGTCCCTCCAGAGGAACAGATTATTCCACAAGCATGGGGAGCTAGGGACCACGGGACATTTCCGCTTTAGTTTTCTACATCCATGTTGTTTGCAGATAGGACAAAGTGTTAAAACTAAATCTAAGCAGCAAATGAAAGATAGAAAACAACTATGCCTGAAGAGATCTTGCACCTCTGGCCTGGTGCAGAAACATCTGCTGGCTCAAAGCTATCCCCTAACCTTGCCTCTCCAACAAAGTCATGCTGAGAGGTAGCAGGATGCTGGTGGAAAGAGTCAGCCTGCGCGTCTTTGTTTCCCTGCAATGCTTCCTCCCTTCCATGCCACGTACTAAATCCTTCTGTATTAACAGGCCTCCAGATAACAGCATTGACCCTTCACGTCACAGCACTGAGAATCAGACTTGCCAGGGCCCCAGCACTGATGTTCTAAGCAAAAGCCTCGCATGCTTGGCGTGGAATAGGTGCCAGCTGACAGAGCAACCACAATAACACGCGTGAAGACACAACCACAGCAGTATTACTACCCACAGGCTCTAGGGGAGTACATCTGCCTGCAGATTGTACCTGCCTGTTTATTCCCATACATGCTCTTTCAGGCAGGTGTCTCAAAGTCATCTGCAGCACACCGACCTCCTGCTGAGTTAAGGACATCTAGAGCTCAGTGCGTCTGTGCCAGGCTGGCTCCCTGCCACGTGCACAGCACTCCCTCTCCCCTAGACTCACAGCCGGATCGCAGGCAGGCAAGCATCCTCAGGGACAGCACAGCTGCAAGGCTTGAAAACAGAGGGCATGAAAAAGCATCATCTTTGCTCCAGTCCAGGGTGAAGCAGGGAAGTGGCTGCCAGATCGGGAAGAGTGCTCTCTGGATCTATTTGTTCCTCTAGTATTTTCCGTAATAATTAAACCCCTACCATTGAGTAGAGAGATGGCTAAACATCTTATCAACACCCCTCCCTGCCATTTTCCTGCTGTTCCATGTGCATTTTCCCTCGCGAACGCTCAAGGAAGCGCAGGGAGGGAAAGCACAGCCCGTCAGTCCCTGCTGCAGCAGCTAACAGCACCATGCAATGCCAAGATGTGACTAGCTGCAGACTGCCTGACCACAGCCTGGAGCAGACCTCACAGCAGGGTGTGGGCTATAACCAGTGTGCAAAAAAAAGTGACAACTTTAGAGATAATGTTCCGCTGTCTCACTACTGTGTACAACATGATATGCATTAAGGTGACTCCAGCTTTCAAAGGCGGTGGTCCTCACTCTGATCAGGCTCACTTCGGCTCCTCCAAATAACAGGTCACTTTTAAACAGACTTTTGTATTTATAATTAGTGGAGCAAACCCATAATTATGCAGCAATGGCCAGATACTGGAAACCAACACCTAGAGAGGCCGCCCAACCACAGACAGTAGGCTCTCTCATCCCTGAAGCCAACAGACATTACATTAAATGTTCCAGCACTGAAGGATAAAAACAGTCTGAAACATGTAAGAGCCTCCAGCCTATGAGAACATAATCTTCACCGTGGGGAAAGATCCAGTGCAACCCCACTGAAACCAGGACAGTTCCTCAAAATCCACACCAGATGCCCTGTTCTGAATCCAGCCCTGCACATTCACCTTCCACTGAAGGCACCAACCTCTTGGGACCTCCGGTCTCACCTTGTTCTCCTCAGGGGTGAAAAGGATGCGGAAAGTTGAAGGCATGCCAGGTGCTACCTTGCGACACACAGCATTGGGGCTGATCAACTTGAAATAAGGTGAGCTCTCCAAGACGACTTTCACCAGCCGAGGAACCTGCAGGAGAGACATGAAACTATGATTTTGCCACTCATGGAAACATGAGGAGAAAAGACTCGGCCAAGCCCTGGTGATCTTGCCAGGTGCTACCTTGCGACACACAGCATTGGGGCTGATCAACTTGAAATAAGGTGAGCTCTCCAAGACAACTTTCACCAGCCGAGGAACCTGCAGGAAAGACATGAAACTATGATTTTGCCACTCGTGGAAACACGAGGAGAAAAGGCTCGGCCAAGCCCTGGTGACGTCCTTCCTTAACCACCTTTCCAAAGCACTTTTAGCTCTGGAGGTACACGCACATAATACACAAGGGTGGACTTGAAGTCATTCTGCCTGGGCAAAATAGCTCTAGGCCAGAGGCAGTAGGGCAATGCCCTGCTGTGAAGGAATCACCAAGCAGGTAAGACACCAGCAGTATGCAGATATAATACCTGAATCAAGTCATCCCCATATTCAACAAGGCCAAAGAACCTGCTTGCTTCTGCCTGCACACATCCATGCAGTCATGCCTCTAGAGGGGGAATGTATTATCTGAAGGCAAAACAGTATGTGTTATACTGGGGGAAGGAAGAAATTCACTTCTAACATACTTGGTTTGAATGGGGCAGTCAAGCTGCAGTGCTAGAGAGTCACGCGGGCAGACCAGCAAGAGAAGGAGACCGCAGACATTGTGGCCTTACTGGGAATTAAAAGCAAACCTGAAGAACAAAAGGAGGAACGTAGGAAAACAAAGAGACAACCCCAGACACAAGGAGATGGCTAAGAGAATTTAAAGGGGGCTGTAAAGAAGCAAGGGAGAAGCCCGGAAAACAAAGAGACAACCCCAGACACAAGAAGGAGATGGCTAAGAGAATTTAAGGGGGGCTGTAAAGAAGCAAGGGAGAAGCCTGACACTCCACAAGGAAAGGCTGATGCAGAAGATGAGAACAGTCAGCTTGCCAAAATGATGGAAAGCCAGACAACCCCCCAGGCTGTGCCTATCAATTATGGGCTTCAAAGGCATTTTCTGCCTTGCGACACATGACCAGCACTGACTCACAGTGTGGTTTCATTATTAAAAGCCAATCTCAGCTCTCCAGAGCTTTTGCTGCCTGGTGATTGCAGCCAGGCAGCTGCCAGTGCAGGCAAGGCAGATTTCTGGGTATTCCCCCCCGCACCCCGGAGTCCCTGCAGGCACCTTGCTGCAAGTTTCTGCCCTCTGGGATACCACAAGCGCAGAGACAGCAAACAGGCATTTTCTAGCACGCAGATATCAACCCCTGAGCACCAAATCTCATCTCAGAAAGTCTAAAAGGTGATTGCAGCCAGGCAGCTGCCAGTGCAGGCAAGGCAGATTTCTGGGTATTCCCCCCCGCACCCCGGAGTCCCTGCAGGCACCTTGCTGCAAGTTTCTGCCCTCTGGGATACCACAAGCGCAGAGACAGCAAACAGGCATTTTCTAGCACGCAGATATCAACCCCTGAGCACCAAATCTCATCTCAGAAAGTCTAAAACAGGCAATTTTGACTGACAGGCAGCTTCACTGATAAGCAACAAACCCACACGAGGCTTGGGAAAAATGGAGATTCATTCTGCACCACCCACCCGAGCCTGATAACCCATGGCCAAGGCAGTCCTGAACTCTCCAAACGCCCTTTGCTCCCAGCAATGCCCTGGGGCAGCGAGTTCCAGGAGCCAATTTCACACTGCAGACAAATGTTTTGGTCACCAAGTCCCTTGGGAGATGAGCACACGTGGCTAAGGCCTTCAGCAAAAGCCACCCAAAACATCTCTGAGGGTGGTGAGGAGCAGCCTAAAGACAGAAAAGCAATTTTACAACACGCAGGTAAGAGCAGTAAGTATATAGCGAAGCACTTCTGTATTTGAATTATTACAGAGCCTCTCTTTGGAATATACTTTGCTGTTAGCTGGATTTTTATGCAGCAGACAACCTCAGGCTACCGTGCGGTATAAGTCAGTATGATTCAGAGGAAGCTGGAAAACTGGTGAGAAAGCTTTGAGACAGAGCACAACGTTGCTTTTCTCCAGGACATTACCAAAAGCCAACAAAATTAGAATATAATAACCTCTCTTGGGATTATCATCTCCATTTTTCTGTACTTAAATATGCCAAGGATTTTCCTTAGAGCTGATCTTACTTTTACACCAGTGATGTCCAATGGTTGAAGTCTTACTAGCTTCAAAACTAATTCATTTCGGGGAGGGAAAGAAAAAAAAAGAAAAAATCAACAGTTCACACATTGCCTCCCCCTTGTTGGGCATACAAATCCCAAGGTGCAGCTGTAGAAGTTTATTATTTTTTACTGGGAATGGCAGAAATGTTGATGCAGATGTTCTTTTCCACTTGAGGAAGCATGAATAGAACAAATCAACTGTTTGCCTGTTGGCTGGTACTTGACAAAAACAAACATTTTGAAGTACCGCGTGGATAACGGACCAGCTGAAGCCAAAAGACTTACTGGGAATGAAGCAGAGCAGTAGGAAAAGAGAAGCTGAGGCACATTTTAATCAGGAAAGGGGATACCTACAGCAAAGAGTGTCCAAAATCACTGTGGTATCCCTTGGGCACGGGCACCCACACTGCATCTTTCCAATATTCCCAAGCTAAATCCAGACCAGGAATGGCACAGTGCTCTCCAGCAATAACTGAGGGACCACACCTGCATCCTTCCTTGCCAAAGGGTCTTCCATTTTCAACCATGTCCCCGTCAAAACCTGTTATCTCAGAATATACTTTGACTTCTCTTGCCGTTCCTCCACCTGCAATATGCCCTGACAGCTTTTTTTGTCCACTTGTTTGTTTCCCCCAACAGGCAGATTTGGAGAGGGGGTTAATTCACCTGCTCTCGTGTACACTTCCATCTTCCCATCCTGCCCTCCTCTCATGTATAAACCTTACTCTTCATTACAGAATAGTATCTTTAATTACACCTTTCTTTTTCTGACCTTTCTCCGCTTCCAGTACACTTACTGTTATGTGTCAAGAGAAACCCTTGCACGTACAGTGTTCTCTCCCAGAGCACTTTCTAACCCAGCTCCTTTCCTCCCTCCTGCCTTTTCCCCACCAGCTTGCTCTTGGCACATGCCTCGTTCAAGCAAATGTTTCCCCTGCTGAAATTCAAAAGGTCTCAATTTTCCTCTTTGCAGTGGAACAAAATTGCTGACATTTTTCAACTTTTCCCTTCTCCACTTTCTTGGGAAATCTCAAGATGATCACAATTTTTTCAAATAAAGGTGGAGACCTTCAAGAGCACATTACTCTGGATGTGCTATGGTTCTCCAAAGGGAAAGCAGAGAGCCACGCTGTCTTAGAAAAACCTGAGCAGGACTGAATTAAGCTTAGCAGGACCCTAAAGTGGCACCTAAAGGCCTCCCACTGCTTCTGATGACTCAATCTGTTTCCACTGCTGTTTCAAAACACCGTTCCTGGAGTGCTAATGCCACTAATTATAACTTATTCCAGCATAAAGTGGAGAAGACTCAACCCCTGTGCTTTGACAGTGAGCTGCACAGGGGCAGCTAAACGGGCTGCGAGAGGCAGAGATGCCCTGCCAGAAACCAAGATTAACCAAGGAGCCACCAGGACGCGGTGCACACTCGAGCTAAAGCATGAGAGCAGATAAGAACTGTACAGCCCTCAACACTCCCATCAATCCAGGGCTTTCAAGGGGAAGGATGCTGACTAGAAAAGCTCCTTCAGGTTAGATACCACCAACGCATGGCCAAAATCAGGGGAAGAATCCCCAGCATGGGAAGATTTCCACCATCTTGCAAAAATAAAGGTGGTGAGACATTTTATTCTGGATGTGCTGTGCCGCAGCAGATAACTTGCTATGCTGCGTACCATGCGAATTACACTGCTCTCCTCTTCCAGCACAGCGTTAAACCTCCACGTCCCAGCACTTACCTTGTCGTTGTTCCTCAGAACCAGTGGCACTTCGTAGACCTCGCAGGGGACGTAGCTCTGAAATACCACCTCTGATGGGAAAGGCTGAAACAAGCTCTGTTCCAGGTCGACTGCTGAGAACTGGAGATGCAAGACAGAGCAGTGAGAGGTTCAGCTGCTGGGAGAAAGATTCATGGATGAGAATCCTACACTGATCTCCAGTGAAGTACAGTCTCTTGGTGAGTACGTCTGCCCAGCTCACACTAGGGAAACAGTAGCTCACCCACCTGTGTTCTGAACTGATCAAGAGTTTCTGGACCACGCTAAGCAGGCTCAAGCTAAGAAGCTCTTTTGGTAGGCGTTTCTCCAGCTTTCCTTCTCCAAAATGCAAGGCAGCGCTTACCTCCAGCAGAGCCCTGTGCTAACGTGGTCACACAGCTGCAGAGCACCTACTGAAAGAGCCATGAGCACTCATGGAGCAAAGTGAAACCCAAGAATTTACAGGAGATTCCATGGGAAACAATTTTGGGATGATCTTTACTCTGAGGCAGAGATACTGAGTCCCACACATCCCCAAATATCTTCTTTGATATAGAGCCTAGAAACGAGTAAGAAGAGAACAGTACCAGAGGAGGTAAGGCCAAAAAGAAAGTAACACTGTAGTTAGGAAAAAGACAAATGAGGTGAATGCTGGATGGTGATAAGTTTCAGCTCTTTTCTCAGCATTACTGGGCAACTTGAGTAAGACTGGACTTGGTATCTCCTTTTTCCATGAGCTTTAAATGGATGCTTTACTCTATCTATTATTGCCGTTTCATTTAATACCACTGCGGAAGCATGTCTGAAAATATACACAAACAGCAAATGCTTACAGAGCAGAGGCATTACTTTGAGAAAATTCCTCCCTGCTTTGCCTCCCCTCTTCCAGCTGCACTGCTCCCACTCGAAAGGCACAGGCAGGTCCCCTGCTTCTCCACAGAAGTCATGGTCACGCTGAAGCTAGTAGCTGCAGCACACTGCCAGTTATTTGTGCACTCGTCTGATGTGTTCCCAGCCTCCTGTGCTGTCTAGGGCAATCTTTAACCAATTTGTTACAGGTCTCTTGCTGGCAATTTTCCGCTCAACAGCCTACCTCAGTAATCTACCTATTTGGACTGCGTGTTATACTGAGCAGTCCTGTAAGAAAAGCAGCTTTAAATATACATCTAAGTAAACATCGGTCCAGATAGAGCACATCCACTCCCCACTGCCCAGGGCGATTCCCCTGTATGTCTGGCAGCCTGCAAAATCTAACACCCTGTAAGGGCCGCACGCATTGTTCCAACCCAAAGCATTAATGCAATTGGTTTTGTTAAATCTGGAGTAATTACCATAAGCCCTCAGCCTTCAAAGGCCGACGCTGCCACCGTTGAGGGAGTCCTATGACCCCAAGTATTTGACAGTGACTACACCAAAGCAAGAGGTGGCTATTTCGGCAGGAGGATGGAAAATGGCAAGCTCATGCCCTTGTGTCCTGCCCCAGCCTTCCCCCAGTATCATGCTTTAGTGATGGTAGCTGAACTCCAGCAAAACCCACCAACTTCAGCAGAGGTTACTTATATTGGCTTAGCGCAGATCAGGACTTCAACATCTCACTGAGGAAAAACATTTTACCCTTTCTCCCAGCAGAAGGCAGAAGGAACGCCACCACCACCAGCAGTTTGAAAGGACAACAGGACCTAGTCACCAAGGTATTTAGATAAGCTGGAGGCAAGTCTGTCACAAGCACGCACCCTCTTCAAATGTCACATCAAACAGCAAGGAAAAGGGCAGGAAAAGGCTACCTTTTGATGGGAGGTTTCACTCATGTCTAGAAGCTGGATAATCCGGGGCCACCTCATCTCCCGAGTGCTGGCCAGCCTCTGCTCGGTGGTAAGAGACATCTCCTTCAGGAAGGCAGAGGGAGTCAGCTGAAATGCAAAACACCAGCAAGAGCTACAGAAATGCCTTTGTTCAGAAAGGCTTTCCTTGTTCAAGTGTCACTGATGAATAATTTGTGATCACAGCCACTAGGATAGTCCTGGAAGTCCCGCAAGTTACCTGCTGAAATATTTAACATCAGTAAATTAATGATATAGAGCGGAATACACATGCTCTAACCAAGTGGTTCTGTCCCATTAGCTTCTCCTTCATGATTTGATGTGACATGTTTGGGGATTTCTGTTCTCCGGGCATTTGTTTCCTCTTTAGTTTCGCTGGATTGAGCCAGTGACCTTTGAAGAGAGCAGGGAGGAGTTATCAGAAATCCCCTAACTCCATCCTTGCATCATCAGGAGATGTCACTGCTGGGTGAATCAGAGGAGAGCAGAAAAGCAGCATTGTGCCAAGACTGAGATGGAGAGGAATGGGTCCAAGTTTTAGTTATCTCTTTTTAATTAGCACTTGTTTTCTCTCTGTTCTGGCCTCACACACCTCTCCACAGAAGTATACAGAGATATCTCCTTGACAGAGCCTCAGCATTAGGTCATCTCCAGTCAAGTAAGCTCCAGTCAGCAAAGGCGACGTTTGTGGATGGGAAGGAGAAATTGCCCTGACTCCATTGCTGTTTGCAGGGCTGGATCTGTGCTCCCCACGGGGTATGAGATATAGCAACTGTTTTGGAACCTGTTCTATCTGGGACCAGCCACGTCTCTCAAGTCTTCAGGCAGAGTCTGAGCAGCCCACCACGTGCCTGGCTGCCTGGAGGACAGGTATGGTCAGAGCAGTACTAGCAAGTATGCCGACATGACGGAAGATATTACTGCCCACACAAAGAGGATGGAAAGAAGCACACGCTCGTGCTTCAGCTGTTCCAGTGCAATGCCCAGTACATTCGTTTAACTTGGCTCCAGTGGCACATCCAGGCAAGACTCTGGACTTTCCCTGAAGAAGCACACAGTCCATCCCCCACTGCACCACGATAGCCACCTCCAACAGAAGCCTGGCAGCAAAGAGGCGGGGAGGTGGTGTCTGGCTTCACAGTGCTGCTAGGCAACAGGAGGGGAAGGCAGAGGAGGGACACAGGGGGACTTTCCAGCCTTGACGCAGGTCCTACCTGGCCACAGCAGGTACTTACAGTTACGGACTCCTCTGCCTCTCTGACTAGCTTCGGATTACGAGGTGCTACCACTTTGCTCTGGAATCCATCGGCCATTTTGGAGGACCCCATGGACCGATGGATCTTGCCGGTGGCCATGTCTCAGCTTACCTGGAAGGAGCAACAATGGGACTTTGAAAATCCAGAATCCCATTCTGGGATCCCCCATTCTGTTCTGGGGAGAACATAAGGCCTCCCCGCCCTGTTTTGTGATTAGACCATATTTAAGTGGCAGAGCTAAGATTGATAGAAGTAAAACCCCAGAACAAACATTCCCTAAGTCAAAACAGCCTTTTGCTGCGGGTGCAGTCCCACGAGCCACAAACACACACCAGGGCCTGCTGGCATTTCTCACCTTCCCCCCGCTTCCATTACTTTTGGAACCCCATTTACTGGAATTATTAACCAAATCTCTATTAATATCCAAAATGTCCTTTATTACTCTTTAAAAGTTTTTTTGGTGGGAACAGAAGGAAGGTAAATGTCACTTAGCTGCTTCATTTTGCCAGAGCAGCTGACCTGATGTGACAAGCGCGCGCCTGACCCTCCTAAGTGCTCCGAGTATTATGAACAATCTTAAACCCAGGGATCGCTGCTGCCCCAAGCGTTAACAAAATCAGACCACTTTCCTACTTTGCAAACCAAATGTCCACCCTTTGTGCAAAGAGCCTGGTGATGTTTCTAACTAACGGAGCATAGAGTTCAATACTCTGATTAAGAATTATAGTTTCTCAAGGATAATTTGGTTGGTTTAAGTTACAAAAATTATCGGGCAAATATGACTCCTTCCAGGCATGAAATTACTACAGTGCCTAAGAGCATTTCTCCATGGAGAACGAGGGCCCTAATTTTCACTTATTAGCACCCAAACTCAAGGCTCCCTACAGGCATTAGAGGCTGTAACAGCAGAAATAAAAGCATGAAACCATTAAAGGAACATGAGCAATCAGCTCAAATATAAATGCAACATATGTGAAACTAGGGCCACTTAAGACTTTATCCTAATGGCCGTTCTTCTCCAGCATCCTTATCCTACAAGTAGCATTGGTTAACAGGTCCACGGGCCATTCTTCCCCCAGTCACCAGCCGGCCGGCCACCTCTCTTCATCTGTGTCACAGAAAGTGCGAGTGCAAGAAATGGCAAGAAGAGAAGACAACCCCAGAAAGTGGGTCTCAAGCACCAATAAAAATCAAAGTTAAACATGTACAGCATTTGCTAAGCACTACTTTGGGCTAGAAATAATTTCCCCTCCCTTTCTGGCTATCTGGACCAAGGAACAGATGGATTTGCCCATTTCTTATTTTCTGGGACTTGAAAGACCGGTGCTCTCAAACCCAGCTCTACCCTAAATTTTTTTTCATCCTGACATTAAGTAAAAATCAGAGATCATATTCCCTCCTGCTTCCCTCTGTTCCACATCATCTTTTTTGTGTGGACTTGCTGTACACAGCAAGACTTCATCTATACAAAGATGACCATTCCCTTCCCCTCAAGTTTTGCCTTGCTTGCAGGATGTGGGTAATAACTTCATTCCTTTACTCCCCAACCAGCTACAGTATTGTACATGTTCGTGGTACTCCCTTTACAGTGTTAGGAAATGACAAGGTTGCCATTTCCTTTTGTTCTGGCAAAAAACATGAGCACAGCACTGTCCTAAGGACATGAGGACATGCTGCAGCAAGAGCTAGGACTTAAAGGGGGAAATAACTATTTTTCAAGAGAAATCTAATGAGGATGATACAACGTTAATCTGGATTTCAATGTTTTATTATTGGGTCTTGAGAATAACTGGATTATTTGTTCCAATTTTCTACCTGTAATTTCACTTCACTTGAAATTAATCCTGTTCTTCATGCCCACAACGCTTATTTCCAGAGGGCTTCCAACCTCCACACCCCCATCCCAGTCTTACAGCTTCCCCCACCCTCCAGCCCTACAGTGAGGCACTTTCACAGCCCCACGGCTCCACTTCCCTCGAGCCTGCAGAGATCGGCCTCCCGGATTAGGAGGAAAGGAACAGAACCGAGAAATCGGCCACATCTTCCTGCAGAGGCAGGACAAAACAGCAACCACAACACAGCACGCTTCCAGCCCACCACGCCTGTCCAGTGGAAGGAGATCTCTATCCTCCCCACATCAGACAGCCCTCTACCCGCCCCAGAAACGTAAGGAAGGATTGCAGTTCTCCCTCTGCTCCAGGCTCAGGGCACAGACAGCTCTGGCACCTCAGCTTTAGGTTCAGAGCACGAATGCCCTGAACCTGGGCAGAGGAACCAACTGTGCCAGGACACAACAGCTAAGACAACCTAGACAAGCAATGAAGAAATATGCCCAGGGGTGGGGTAGAAATTCCTGACTTGTCTCCAGAAACCAAGATGTATCAGAGCAGGGTGCCAAGCTGAAGATCACCAAGGACATCCAAGCTGCAGCCTCCTCCCCAAGGCTCCCTTTACTCCAGTATCTACAGCTGAGCTAGAAGTCTCTACCATCACTGCAAGTTGCACAGCAATTTTAGAACCCATTAAAAACCCTTCTACCTCCCCAGACTTGCTCTTAGACCAGGTATATAGTTAAATCCTGCTGAGTATCACATAGCTGCTGTATCCCTGCTGTTGGCCCTCCTGCCAACAAAACTGCCTCCTTCCTGCCCAGACACTACCTTAGGACAGGTAATTCATGCTTCTCTGGGAGGATTCACTTTGTGTAGCGCCCAGTCTTGCTTCCTGAATCACCATGGGCTATCTGGTGGCTGTGGAGAGCCTGGAGGGATAGGAGTGGGCCAGGGAACCGTTGGTGTGACCGTGTTCCCACCAGCGCAGCAATAACTGTCACTGGGCTGGTGGCTTCCGAGAGCCCGGTGAAACCTGGAAGGCAACTGACAGAACGTGGAAATTGGGCTGCCCAGCATCTCCTCTCCTCAACTGTTACAGCCTTGCCAGGCAGAGCAGGAGGATTTTACCAGGACCTCAAGGACGGAGAGAGTTCAGAGCTTGACATTAGCTAAAGTCTGCTCGTTTCTCTGCTGCTGAGCTCCTCCTGCTCTAACGTGGGGAGATACTGCACAGGCGCAGGGTGCTGTGCGGAGAAACTTCTCAGAACAGCAGCATCTCATCCTGTAAGCAGCATGATAGGAAAGGTCCACTAACCAAGAAGAGAGTCGGGGTTTAGCACCTTAACCAGTTCCACACCAAGGGAACAGATGCATGTTCAAGCATTTGTGGCTTTGGGATTTCTTCAGCTCTAGGCTGGAGTGGAGACTCTACTTTCTACCTTGAATTTTCTCAGTATCATAATCGGTCGACTTAGTCTCTACTCTGGTAGTTTACGATGCCACTGAAATGCCTTGATAAAGTTATAGCCTTGCAAAACACTGCAGTCCATCTTTTTCTTAAACATCTCACTCCGCAGTGAATGATTGCGGCAGTATTAGAAGGTACGCCTTAGAGTACCATTTGTTAATGTTCCACGAGCTTCGGATAAATTAATTTAGACACTGCAGACAAGCTAATCATTTCTTTAAGGAGTAAAGAAAAAGTTTCCATAGACACTGCAGACAAGCTAATCATTTCTTTGTTTAAGGAGTAAAGAAAAAGTTTCCACGCTGACTTACAAAGCAAGAATTTAATTTCTATTTTGCTCGCCCAGGGAGGACCCCAATCACATCAATGCAAGAGAGAGCAGGCAAATCACCGTGTTGCCGCAGCTCCAACAATGCCTTTGGGGGTGTCCTCTGTTGTTGCACCTGGTGAATACCCCTCTGATGAGCTTGTTCCAATTAACCGTGCACACATATACACACACACCGGCCAGGGACACCCAACTTACAAAAGCATCTCAGCTGCCAGGGAGCTTCATGCATTTTCAGCGCAGCATATGCTATAAACAAAAGCTTCTCAGGAGACTCTCGGCCACAGGCAAACCAAATCATCACATCTGCTTGGCAGGGAACAAGGAACCCGCAGTCTGAAAACCAACGTTCATTATTTGGGGGTTTACAATCCAGTCAGGGAGGATCCGAGCCCTGAAAACTAACTGGCTCTCCAGTCAGCTAGCCTATGGAAACTCGCTCCAAAACATCTGCATGGTGTCCAGCCACAAATCTGAGTGGAAACTGGAGAGCTCAGGCAAAGAAACCTCAAGTGTGACACCCTTGTGCGCTCAAGGTACTGAGACAGAAGCGCTATAAGGAAAGGAAACTGGATGGTGGTTGATGCTTCCCGTCTCAGAAGGGAGACAGATGTCGAAGTGAGACCCATCGAGTCTCTCACGCTTGGTCTGAGATGCGCTCACAGGGCTGCCACCTTGTGCTCCTTCCCAACAGCTCCAGCACATTACAAGCAATGTTAGAGCCTCACCTGCTCAGCACAGAAGTGACTCCTGCCTGCTGCAGGCAAATAGCACACCAGGAACCAGGTCTCATGCTCCGAGGACTTGCCAGAGAAGCCTCAGGTGCTCAGCAAGGGAAACTGCTGGCTGCAAAGTATCTTCACAGCACTGCATTGCAGAACCGACACAAAACCCATACAAGGCTTGCAAGCACCTCAGCACCCCAGTGCTAAACCTGATGCTTGGTACTTCGATCTGCTCTCATCAACCTCAACAACCCTGCTCCCATGCTTGGCTGTGTTCCTGCTATTGAACTCACCATCTATTTTTCCAGCCCAAACCCTCCTGCCCTCCCAGATAGATGGAGGGGGCTAAAGCCATTCCTTAGTCCTGCTTGTCAGCAAGGACAAGGTCACTTCCACATCTCCTAGCACTGCTGCGTGGAGAAATCAAGTGAGAAAAAGCCTGATCTGCAGGCTAGCAGCTAGGATGCTTGAGAGCTAAGGAAAAGTCTTGGCTGGGGGGCTCTGCTTCCTGGATTACAAAGTCTTTTAGCTAACGACTATTTAACATGCAATGCATAAGCAGTCTCCAGAGGAAAAAAATATCAGAGACCAGGATCATCTTCAAAGCGAAGGAAAAAGATTTGTTTCATGATGTGGGCTCACAGCTACTACAGACTCCTTGCTTCAGGCTAGGCAGAAGAGAAGGGTCTGCACAGGATCGCTCTGCTCCCAGGTGAGTATTTTTGGCCATGAGCTACCTTAGGGGT